ATCGAGAGAACCCATGTATCCAGAGAACCCATGGTTCCTGAGAGCCCATGGTTTCAGAGAACCCATGCATCCAGAGATCCCATGGTTCCTGAGAACCCATTACTCCAAAGAACCCATAGTTCCAAAGAACCCATGGTTCCCGAGAACCGATGGTTCCTGAGAACCCATGTATCCAGTGAACCCATGGTTGTTGAGAACCCATGTATCTAGAGAAAGCATGGTTCCTTAGAACCCATGGTTCAGGAGAGCCCATGCATCCAAAGAACCCATGGTTCCAGAGAGCCCATGGTTCCTGAGAACCCATGATTCTTGAAAAACCATAGTTCCAGAGAACCCATGGTTCCTGAGAACCCATGATTCCAGAGAACCCATATATCCAGAGAACCCACAGTTCCTGTGAACCCTTGTATCCAGAGAACCCATGATTCCAAAGAACGCTTTATTCCAGAGAACCCACGGTTCGTTAAAACCCATGTATCCATAGATCCCATGGTTCCTGAGAACCCATGGTAACAGAGAACTGATGTATATAGAGAATCCATGGTTAAATAGAACCCATGTATCCATAGAACATATGGTTCCAGAGAACCCATGTATCCAGAAAACCCATGGTTCTCAAGAACCAGAGAACCTATTTTTCCAGAAAATTCATATTTCCAGAGAACCCATGGTTCCTGAAAACCCATCGTTCCAGAGAACCCATTGTTCCTGGGAACCCATGTATCCAGAGGACATATGGTTGTTGAGAACCCATCTATCTAGAGAACCCATGGTTCCAGAGAATGCAAGCATCCAGAGAAGCCATGATTCCAGAGAATCCATGGTTCCTGGGAACCCATGGTTCCATAGAACCCATGATTGCTTAAAACCCCTAGTTCCAGAGAACCCATGGTTCCTGAGAACCCTTCGTTCCAGAGAACCCATGTATCCAGAGAACCCATGGTTCCTGAGAATCCATGGATCCTGATACCACATGTACCTAGAGAACCCATTGTTCCAGAGAACCCATTGTTCCAATGAAGCCATGTCCAGAGAATCAATGTATCCAGGGAGAACCCTTGTTTCAAGAGAACCTATGCATCCAGAGAACCCATGTATCTAGAGAACCCATGGTTTCAGAGAATCCATGTATTCAGAGAACTGTGGTTTCAGAGAACCCATGTATCCAGAGAACCCATGGTTCCAGAGATCCCCTGTTTGCAGAGAACCCATGTATCCAGAGAATCCATGTATCCAGAGATCCCCTGTATGCAGAGAACCCATGTATCCAGAGAACCCATGTATCCAGAAAACCCATTGTTCTTTAGAACCCATGTATCCAGAAAACCATTGGTTAAAGAGAACCCATGTATCCAGAGAATGCATGTACCCAGAGAACTCATGGTTCCAGAGATCCCCTGTTTGCAGAGAACCCATGTATCCAGAGAACCCATGTATCCAGAGATCCCCTGTATGCAGAGAACCCATGTATCCAGAGAACCCATGTATCCAGAAAACCCATTGTTCTTTAGAACCCATGTATCCAGAAAACCATTGGTTAAAGAGAACCCATGTATCCAGAGAACCCATGTATCCAGGGAACCCATGGTTCATGAGAACCCATGTATCCACAGAACACATGTATCCAGAGAATTCTTGGTTGCAGAGAACCCACGTATCCAGAGAACACATGGTTCCAGAGAACCCATGAATCCATAGAACCCATGGTTCCAGAGTACCCATGAATCCAGAGAATACATAGTTCCTGAGAACCCATGTATCCATCGAACCCAAGGTTCCAGAGAACCCATGTGTCCAGAGAACCCATGGTTCCAGAGAACTGATGGTTCCTGAGAACCCATGGTTCCAGAGAACCAATGGTTCCTGAGAACCCATGTATCCGGAGAACCCATGGTTCCTGAGAACCCATGTATCCAGAGAACCCATATATCTAGAGAATTCATGGTTCCTTAGGACCCATGGTTCCAGAAAACCCATGGTTCCAGAGAACCCATGTATCCAGAGAACCCATGGTTCCAGAGAACCCATGGTTCCAGAGAACCCATGGTTCCGGGAACTCGTGTATCCCGAGAACCCATGTTTCCAGAGAACCCATGTATCTAGAAAACACATGTATCCAGAGATCCCATTGTTACTGAGAACCCATGTATCCAGAGAACCCATGTATCTAGAGAACCCATGTATCCAAAAAGGCTGAGATCACCCAGAGCTCTGGCAGGGTTTAATCCTAAGTATGGAGCTAAAGTTAAAATTGTAGATCACTGGTTGATATGCTGCATCCCTATTTGCCCTTGTGTCAGACTGGAAGCTTGGAGGGGTGGAGAAATTATGGGATGAAGCAATGAGGACCAACCCAAATATCCCCATACAGCCAGATTCTAAATGTGTGGAAGTAACTTGATATCCCAAATATCAGACATTGTGTCAATGAAAGAGATATCCTTCTTGTTGTTTATATGTTGGGGGATTTAGCACTCTCCCATAATTAATTAATCAATTAAACACTTCCCTTCACCATGAGAATTTACCTAATTCCCTCCCCCACACCAAAAAAAAAAAAAACTTAAATCACAACCAAAGCTTTGTCTTGAAGCCAAGTATGTTGCCTTAAGCAGCTGGTAGTGCTGCTGTTGTCACACATGCATCAACTACTGGGCTTCTACCCATCAAACAGAATTGTTTGCTATACTTCTTGCACTCAAATGTGTGTATGTACCCAAGGCTGACTCCTTAATTTTAACTGATTCTATTTCTATAAATGCTCTTAACTCCTTGAGTATCAGTTGTGGCATGTTTGTGTCAGAAGTCCCAGATACAGTTATAGTAAGATTATATATAGACAGTGGAGTCAGAGTACACGTGTGGATTCCACCTTCGGATGGATGTGTGATAGAAGTGATGAATTGGCAAAGGCATATGCTTTGAAGGAGGGAATAAATTATAATATTAGGCTGTTAGTTTGCAGCTGTATAATCCTACGGGTTTAGCGCTTCCCCCTTGATTATAATAATAATAATAATAATGTTAGTTTGCAGTTTGAGAACAATACAAAAAGAACTTCAACTGAACTTCATTGACTTGAGACTGAGGTAGACTGACACCAGTCATTCTATCTTGGAGGAGCCACATGTTTATGGTACATTCAACAAAATATGCAGACTCTTGGGTGTCACTACTGCCAGGCTCTGGCTGAGTTACAAGTATTGAGTGGTTGCATCAACAGCTGATGTGAACATTCCTAAATGTAAACTTTGCCAAATGGACTGCTGACACCTTGCATCATTATGTGTTGGAATTCGATCAGCTGGAGGTTATTCCGGGGATCAACGCCCCCGCGGCCCGGTCCATGACCAGGCCTCCCGATGGATCAGGGCCTGATCAACTAGGCTGTTACTGCTGGCCGCACGCAGTCCAACATACGAGCCACAGCCCGGCTGGTCCGGCACTGACTTTAGGTATCTGTCCAGCTCTCTCTTGAAGGCAGCCAGGGGTTTATTGGCAATTCCCCGAATGCTTGATGGGAGGCTGTTGAACAGTCTTGGGCCCCGGACACTTATGGTGTTTTCCCTTAGTGTATCAATGGCGCCCCTACTTTTAATTGGGGGTATTTTGCATCGCCTGCCCAGTCTTTTACTTTCGTAGGGAGTGATTTCTGTGTGCAGATTTGGGACCATTCCTTCCAGGATTTTCCAAGTGTAGATTATGATATCTCTCTCTCCTGCATTCCAATGAGTACAAGTCAAGTGCTTCCAAGCGTTCCCAGTAGTTAAGATGCTTGACAGAACTTATATGTGCAGTAAAGGATCTCTGGACACTCTCTAGATCTGCGATTTCACCTGCTTTGAATGGAGATGTTAATGTACAGCAGTATTCCAGCCAATTCAGAGCCAACTCTTCCACAAATGTTCAAGAAATGTCAAACTGTTTTATTACCAACCATTCTGGAAGAATACCCTGATTCCTCATATTGTTAATAATGCATTTATCACTGTAACTTGTTTAAATTCAATAGTACCCTGCTAAAATATAAGCTAATATCAATAATTAAAAACCACTTATAAGCTACCCTGCAATATTTTTATGACTTTATTCTTTTTTATAACACACAGACCTCCCACTGAAGTAGGGTGACTCAAAAAAGAAACACTCACCATTATTCAAAAAATCACTGTCTTGCCAGAGGCACACAGATATGACAGTTCAGATGACCCTCCAATCAGCGAATACTTTATTTCATGTCTGCATAAATAACTCGTTACGGTTGTAACCATTTATAAAGTAAATAGTTCATTACCACTTTAACTAAGCTGTCAACACTTTATGGCCTCATCTCAAGACCCATTGTTTGCCTTTAATATTGAGCCTGTCATCCAGAGAATGGGGGATGGGGTGCATAATTTTTTTTTTTTTTTCAACAAGTCAGCGATCTCCCACCAAGGCAGGGTGACCCAAAAAAAAAAAAAGAAAACCCCCAAAAAGAAAATACTTTCATCATCATTCAACACTTTCACCTCACTCACACATAATCACTGTTTTTGCAGAGACACTCAGAATACAACAGTTTAGAAGCATATGCATATAAAGATAAACAACATGTCCTTCCAAACTGCCAATATCCCAAACCCCTCCTTTAAAGTGCACGCATTGTACTTCCCATTTCCAGGACTCAAATCCGGCTATATAAAAATAAATAAATAAAAAGAAGCATAATACGTATATCTGTATTAAACTATTACATAATTTCTATCAGTTCTCGCTGTATAGCCCTTGTGGCTTAGCGCTTCTTTTTGATTATAATAATTCTATCAGTTCTCAAAGCTTCCTCTAATGATATTATTTACTAATAATGCAACTTCAAGACAAATTCTGTAGTTTCTCTTTCCAACCAGATTGCCACCCTTAAGTCTCTTCTATAAAGAAACTGGTGCTATGTCTGTCCTGATCTGTAACACACCTACAGGAAGTGCAGTAGGAGAAAAAAAATCATGTCATTTTAGTAGTGTAATATGTCTTTTTTATTTATAATCTCGTCAAAAAATGTACTTAGCTGCATATAACTAATAATATTTGAGTTTCATTAACTATTAATGTGAAGAGTTTTATCTGACTAAATTTTTTCCTAAGACAAGTATTTTTAGTAATTACAACTGATTTATTTCTAAGACAAGTTTTTCTAGGAATTACAACTACAATGGCACTGTACCATAGGTAACATCCTAAGTGTCAGGCAGTAGTAGTGAGTTATTCTAGTAGCAGCTCCAGGACTTACTCTTCATAGCTGAGGGAATCTTTGGACTCAGTTGGTTATAATTAGTCATGAAGATTAGTTGCTTTATGAGCTGCAAAGCCTATCGACTACACGAGGCTCATCAAGGCTACATGTAACCTGTACACCAATAGTCAAAAACACTGTAATCAATAGGACAAGGAGTGTACAAGCACAGACACATCGCTCATTGTACAAGTATGTATATAACTACATCAGCAGTGAAATTAAAACTCTACTGTAAAACTCTGAGCTCATTCCTGGAGTTTTCTGCTTTATTTTGTAGCCTACAAGTGCCTCCCTCCAAGGGGAGGGGGGTAATGAACAGAGGTATATTAATGTCTAGAGGGCTCACTGCCCAAGTAATTGGAGGTATCTTTCCCTTCACTGTTTTTGATTATAATAATAATAATTTCCCTTCACTGGATCAAATCTGATTACCTCCCAGTCTCTAGGTATTGTATGATCATTGCAGGTTTATCATTTCCTCGTGATGATGATGATTAATAATAATAACAGACAAGATAAAAAATTGCTTATGAATATGTGTTCCAGTACATCAGTTAGCACTCAGTCATAGCTTCTCATAGCAAGTACTTTTATTTATGTCACCTTTGAGAGTTCAAACAATAGCAACAAAAAACAAGGTCAACTTTTCCCAAGGGAGCTGAGGAGTGTCTCGTCTTAACATGCATCCAGGGCTATCTCTATAAAATGTTGGTGAGGGGCTCTTGATTTAGGGAATTGGATCTGTGCTCCAGTTCCCCAAATTAAGCCTGAATGCCTTCCACATTCCCCCCCCCCCCCAGGTGCTGTATAATCCTCCGGGTTTAGCGCTTCCCCTTTGATTATAATAATAATATCTCTATGAACATAAATAAGTTGCAATATGCAGTTTATGGCATTGTACTGAGATGTTTCATCCACTGGGACTTGATCCACTGATAAACTACATGGGATAGCAAAGTCGGCCCACATACTGGCCTAATTTCAAAGGAAGAAGCTTCTATTTGGCTGAACATATTACTGTAGGTGACATCACCTCCACATCAAAACAACACAACTGCATGAGGTGTGAAAGACAGTAAATGTAACCCCAGTTTTTTAAGAAAGGATACAGACAGGCAGCATTAAACTACAGACCAGTGTCACTGACACGTATATAATAAGTATGTAAAATTATGGAGAAAATTATCAAAAGAGTGGTGGAGCACCTAGAAAGGAAAGGGCTCATACATGACAACCAGCACGACTTCAGGGAAAGGAAATCCTGAATCACAAACCTGAGCTCCACAACAAGGTAACAGAAGACAGGAGAGAGGGGGAAGGGTAAACTGTATCTTCTTGGACTGTAAGGCAGCTTTCAACACAGTACCACACAAGAGACTGGGTGAGAAGCAAGAGGAGCAGGCAGGAATAGCTGGGAAAGTACTGCAGTGGATCAGAGAATAACTGACACGAAGGAAACAAGATGTGTTGGTATGTAACAAGGTGTCACGGTGGGCACACATGACAGAAATGTCACTGACGTTTTTGGTTATTCTAGGTAATTTACACAATGATAATTGTACCTATGTGAACCTGTGCCTAAATAAACTTGCTAGTCAGAGGTGTCCCTGTTTGTAGACAATGTGAAACTAACGAGGAGAATACAAGTACACGAGGATCAGGTAAGTCTAACAAGGGTATCTGGACAGCTTGCAAGCCTGGTCTGACAAATGGCTCCTAGAATTTAACCCCAAGTGCAAAGTCATGAAACTTGGGGAAGGACAAAGAAGACTGCAGATGGACTACAGCCTAACAATAACAATTCTATTTCTTTGCACAGATTATAATGTGTGAATGCATATAAAACATGTTGATAGGTACAAAGAAAGCCATGAACATGCTGGGGTATTTTGGGCAGACTAAGGGGCCAAAGGCTGCAAAACCCACTTGAGGAAAAGGATCTTGGGGTGAGCATCATACTGAGCACATCTGAGGTGCACATCAACCAAATAAACACTACAGCACATGGACACTTGGTAAACCTAGGAATACTATTGCAACATCTAAGTAAGGAGTCATTCACGACACTGTACGCTGTGTGCGTCAGGCCCATATTGGAGTATGTAGCACTGGTCAGACACATCAAGAAATTGGAGAAAGTGCAAATGTTTGCAACAAGACTAGTCCCAGAGATAAGGGGCATCCCCTGCAAGGAGAGTTTAAGGAAACTCTACCTGATGATACTGGAGGACAGGAGGGATAAAGGAGACATAATAATGACATAAAATACTGAGAGGAGCTGACAAGGTGGAGAGGGCCGGAATGTTTCAGAGATGGAACACATGAACAAGGAGGCACAACTGGAAGTTAACTCAGATGAGTCACAGGGATGTTAGAAAGTATTTTTTCAGCCTTAGAGTTATCAGGAAGTTCAACAATCTGGAGAATGAAGTAGTGGAGCCAGGATCCATATGTAGCTTTAAGATGAGGCATAAAACGGCTCTTGGAGCAGGGAGAGAGTGGACCTAGTAGCGACTAGCAAAGAGGAAGGGGGGGAGGCGAGATGTGAATCAACCCCTTCAATCACAAATAGGTGAGCACACCTCACTATCTCTTCACTATATCTTTCTACCCATTTCTAAGAGAACTGATAAAGTCCCTGGTGGATGAAACTTTCACTCACTAAAATGCCATAAACCGCATTGTGTCTAATTTACACACTTGTCAGTATATTCTACTACTGACATATACTGTACTTCTGTGAATGAACATTCCCCTCACAGAAGGATGTATTTGGTGGTGAAAAATCTCTGATACACTATATACATAATCAAGTAGGTTACAAAATATATTTGTAAAAATGGAAGCCCTTCAGGGGATGTCCAGTTCACCTGTAGAAAGTTACAGTTAGGAATAGGGAAAAGTTTATTTTTTTTTTAAGTTGGATTGCTCATTACTGAACCAGGCAAGCTTTCTTTGTGCCTTTAATTAACCTTGACAAAAGTCAAAATATCGTACAACAAACACTGTTCATGTGCTGCCTCATAACGGTTACTAAGAGTTTACAAATAACTCTATTGCTGTAGTAGTAACTACTATGTCCATGAATCTTTGCTACAGTGTAAGTCAGACTCAGAGTATCTGAGAGCCTTTATATCATGGCTTTCATGAAGAACAGGAAATTGGAATAAGTGCTATAATATCTTCATGCTTTAAAATTGTCAACAGCGCATTGAGTAGGATAGGTAAGTGCATCACGAAACTATTTTGGCAGTATCACTTTTTAATTTTTTTTGTACTAGTAATTTAAAAAGTTGTTTATAAACTAAAATACATAAATTTAAGGATTATCAACTCTGCCCTTCTACCATTGTACTGAATGTGAATTTTAAAACATCCAATCAATGCATATAGTGCATGAGAACCTGGAGTCTACCTGGAAGTTATTCCGGGGATCAGCACCCCCGCGGCCCAGTCCACGACCAGGCCTCCCGGTGGATCAGGGCCTGATCAACCAGGCTGTTACTGCTGGCCACATGCAGTCCAACATACGAACCACAGCCCGGCTGATCTGGCACTGACTTTAGGTATCTGTCCAGCTTTCTCTTGAAGGCAGCCAGGGGTTTATTGGTAATTCCCCTTATGCTTGGTGGGAAGCTGTTGAACAGTCTGGGGCCCCGGACACTTAGAGGTGTATTTAAAAATTAAAAATCTAATAATCTCACTTATACAGTATGAGGACAATTTTCTGTACACTATTAAAATCTGCATGATATGTCAGTACAAAGTGGATGCAATATGAAGACACAATATATTTCTCTGAGGTCAATGAAGAATACATGCACATAATTACACTATCGGTAGTTCAAAGTACATCACAAGGGCTACATACATACTGCTGCACAACACACAGCCCAGTCAACTACACACGCTACTGTATCAAGCAATGGCAAGAATCCTGCAGTGAAGCCGCACTGTCAAGCCTAGCTAACACTTTTACATTCATAGCTATTAATACAGTGTAGCAGCAAGATGGGTTGAGGAAAGATCTCCTTTGTGCAGATGTGTAAGCCTTACTGAAATTTCTTATCATAGAAATATGCCGTTATGCCTAAACAGCCTATCAGTAAGTTATCTCTAACAGTTGTTTCACTGTTGGATTTTACCCGACATGGGTTTCATTAAAATAAATGAAATGTCTGTATGTTTATTAGTTATAATACTTAAGTTTAAAAATCATTCATAAAATTAGGTTTTAGTAGCTAAGAAATGTTGAAGCAAACTAATCAATTAGTCAATTTGCCAGGAAAACTGCAAACAGACAAAATGAAACTACATGTAAATTGGAAATTTGAGAGACTCAGCTCAATTAGGAGACTTGATTTAAGTACAGCACCAGGCTGCATTTCACTGAAACCAAATTTAACAAAAGCTATGAAGACTGTCCTTTATAATAAGCGTAATCTCCAACCACCTACTTCTCACCCAAACTACTATATATTACTAAACTATATAATACTAAACTAGGTTTTAGGAGATCTGACTCCACCTGGTCCACACATTCTATTGCACTCATGGACCTAACATTCAGTACCTAGTTAGATCCACATGTGAAGTTCCAAAACATTGTTGTATGTAACAATGCTAAGTTAGGAATAGTGCATAAATTCTTAAATTTATCATTTCATTAATACTGAATACCTTATTACAGATAAATGATTAAGTATTAAAATGGACTATGTCAGTCACACAAATATGAGGGAGATCAAAATAACACTGACTTGGGGGTTGACATTGCACAGTTTCATGCCGAGACCTATGGTCTGTTAGACCCCAAGCCACAGATTTTTGACCACTCGTCATATATGGCACTCATACTTTGTAGATATTGTATTTTACTGCCATGGTTATAAAGGGAACATCAAGTATAGATACTCAGGGTACCGAGTGACATGCGTAAAAAATAGCACCCATTACTATTTAGTGTACAGAGTAGACCTAACCCTGTCCTTGCTTTATTTTGATCAGTCCTAATGTCTACTGAACAATTAAATACTTGATAGAAATACAGTGGAACCTCAAAAATCGAACTGCTCCCAACACAACCAATTATGTAAGTGTATTTTTGTAAGTACTTTTATAAGTGTATTTTTGAGGGTCTGAAATGGACTAATCTAATTTACATTATTCCTGATGGGAATAAATTCATTCGGTAAAGGCACTCGAACAGCCTTCTGGACCGAAGAAAGTTCGATATTTGAGGTTCCACTGTATAGTAATCTGAATAATTTCAAGCAGTACTCAGAATAACTCCAAACACAGTAATCTGGATATTTTCAAACACAATAATCTGGATAATTACACTAGCACAATACTCCAGATAGCTCCAGACATTGCTATGCATAATTCCAAACAATACAGTACAATATCTGGTACTGTGAAAAACTAAGGTGACTTAGTCTCTTAGTGTATCATAATTATGTTTAGTCAAACTGGTTATCTTTCATTAAACAAACTGTTTGTTTCATTTGTAATAAATAACAAAACTTAAAATAAACATATACACACAAGTGTGTTTTTCCAAGTTTCTTTGATTTTCCTGCTTACTAAGGTGTTAATCAACGTCTCTTTTTCTATATCTTGGTGGTGTTGGTATCCCGAGGGAGTGACTCCACCTCCACATGAATCTCTCCATTGTTTCCAATTTTACCATTGGTAATGGAGGAGTTCTGGAATAGAAGATTTACATATTTACATTCATGTTAGTCAAACAAAACTGGATGATATAGAAGGTAAAGCAGTTATCAAGCATTAGCGTTATTACATTTACTGTTGGTGTTATGTGCTGGTAAAAGATTTCCTGATTTAAGGTAACTGGAGTTACCCTTCCTTAATCTTTTTTACAGAAATCAATTTTACAGGCTAAGAACATATACTATCTCAGCTTACTGCAAAGCCCAGCCCTATCTAAGGTATAGTACCAACCCCCAGGATGCAACCCACAACAGTCAACTAACACCTAGTTACCTACTTACTGTTGTATTTCCCCATGAATATAAAAATAATTATGATAATGGATTTTACCCCAACAAGGGCACAACCTAACTATTAAGGTGTGATGTGACTCACAACGATTGTTACAAGACCATTAGTTTATAAATAGTTCATTGCTACTGTAGCTTGCTTAGCTATCAACTTTCTGGGCTCAGCCAAAGGACCTAATCGTGTGTGTCTAATCGTGTTGATACTGCCCACAGGATGGAAATTGTGTGACTACCACCTGCAGGATGAGTATGGGGTGACTACCACCTGCAGGATGGGTATGGGGCGACTACCACCTGCAGGATGGATATTGTGTGACCACCACCTGCAGGATGAATATGGTATGGAGAGAAACAGTATAAAAAAAACAACAAGATGGAAGAAGCAGCATAAAGTGATCCTTTTTAAGTAAGTTTATTTAGGTACAGGTACACATATGTACAATTATACCTAGTAACATATGTGTAAATTACCTAGGATAACAGAAAAAAGTCAGTGATTTATTTCCGTTGGGGTCCTTGAAAAAGCCCACTGCATGGGCATACTGTTTGTGGAAACTTATTTGGTCCTAAGTTCCACAGGACAGATATGTCGTACGAAGATCCCAACATGTCACAGATGGAACAGCTGGGTTGGGTGACCCTTACACCCACCCAAAACACACACACACACACACACACACACACCCGGGTTGACGAAGGTGGTTGGAAGGTACATTTTAACTGACAGATTTACCCTTCTAGGAAGAAGTAGGTAGTTTATACTGTTAGTGAACTAATATTAGGGCTTTTGAGGCAACTGTAGATAATAATAATGCAGACCTAAGACCTTAACGTAGGTAGTAATAGGCCGGTAATGTAGGCAAACACTAGGTTATATTAGCCAGGGAGAACTGGCAGCCCAAGTTTGAATCCTGGGGCACGGGGTTTTGAGACCGCAGTGCCTCCTTCTAAGATCAGACACCATCGGAATAACAGGTGCCATGAACAGCAGGGCGGCGTCCCCACGTGTCTTCACATACTAGACCTGGGGAAATCTGGTGGAGGCACCTCGAAGTACTGTAGATGACCTCCTTCATCAGGCCCATACAGTAAGACAAGACCTCCCTTTCTTTCTCAGTATTCTGGCCAGTTTCTGGGGGAAATTGCGAGTGAGTTGAACTGTGGGTCTTTCTGCAGCTGGACAGCCAATGATCGGTATGTGCTGGCATCTCCTCATGGTTAAGCCTTAGAAGTTAGTGTCACTTCCTGCATAGTTGTACTAGGGGATACACACCCCCTTGGAAACAGGAATTTCTGAGGTGCAGGCAGGTCACTAATACCGACTGAATATTGCAGGAATTAAGGCTCCCAGTTGCATGTAGTTCTGAGGGGAAGTCCAGAGGGGCTAAAGCTTAGGGAGGTTGAAGACCGGGATATATTCTCCAACACCAAGTAAGTTAGTCCTTTATTCGTACATGCAGGCGAGATTTCTTGCAATATCAATCATTTATGGAAATCTGTCCTATAAGCCACTTGTGAGGCTGAGGTACCGACCTCAGAGCTCGGTGTCAACAGAGCTTGTTAGGGTAGGCAACTCCCATGGAGGCAGTCCAGACAAATTTTCACAATGTTGTCAATAAAGGATTTTATTTCACTGCATTTGTGTGTCTGTTTCTATGGGAGTGGAGTGCCTAGTAAGGCTATTAAATTCACTGGTGCATGGGTCAGGATGGAACCTTCACCAGCCAGCTCATACAGACACTCAGTTGAGCAACTCATGTGGTTTAAAAGTTTCTGTGCCTAAAACATATTCAGCAGTTCTCACAAGGTGCCCTATTACCCCATACTATGGTATCCCTGTTGGCTATCTGGTCCTGGAAGAAGTTGTAAACTGAATGTGTAAAACCTTGAAAACAAATGTGCAAAAAATGATAATGGCACAAAAAGTGGAAAATTTTAAGCCAACAATCCAGATGGACACATCTATCAATACAGAAAATATAAGTTTTGAAAAAAAAAATGTTTTTAATACAGTTCAACATGAATAAGACATAAGCAACATCTGACAGTGGAAAAAGTGGAGAGTTAATTTTGAAGTGTTCAGTGCTTCAGCCTAAATGGAAGATTTTCAGTCCATTAACCTCAAAATGTTTGAAGGTTCAGGCCTAAACTCCTATTGAGGCTGAGGGACTGAACACCTCAAAATTACCTCTCCACATTCACTGTCTCTGATATTATTCTCTTTACTGAATAAAAAAAACTGCTGTCTGGTAATAAATCTGATCAACAAAGACACCAAGTTGTTGTCTGTACATGTCTTATTCAACAACTTGTTGGTACTGTGTATGTTTCATACTATGCTTAAATATATAGCATATAAAAACACAAAACTTGTTAATGAGCTGAGTCACGTTAATAAGATGATATGCGGTATATGACATTTTATTAAGATGACATTTCGTCCACCAAGGACTTTATAAATTTTCACAGAGATAGGTGAAGACATGCGAGTTGTGGATATGAGAGAGTGATGTCTCCTGCGGTAATGTGCCCAGCCTAGTGGAAACTTTAAAGTTTAAAATTAGGTGGGTCAGTAGGCCTACTTCAGTACTTCATATAATTTACATAATTGCTTTATTATATCCGGTGAGAATATACGTAACAGCACCGTTATATCCAAAGAGAATATATGTACAATAATAGCACCATCATATCTGGTGAGAATGTGTAATAGTCAATGCTCTAAGTGAATTTTTTATGACAGACTCAGAATTTGGTCATTCTAACATCGTGATATTAACCTGAGATTACATGACTTTGAAAAGCAAATACATGACATGCCTATGCACTCTGCCCCAGGCCCAGACTCCTCATGGAACTCCGTGTTCATCAAGAACTGTAAGAAGCTCCTGTCACGTGCCTTTACTATTCAATGGAGAGGGAGCATGGACAGTAACTATAAACAACAGACATAGCTCCACTCCACAAAGGAGGCAGTAGAGCAATAGCAAGCATTACATAGACAGCGCTAACGTCCTGTATCATAAAAATCTTTGAAAGGGTTCTAAGAAGCAAGATTGCCACCTATCTTGATACCCATCAGTTACACAACCCAGGGCAATATGGGTTTAGAGCAGTTACTCCTGCCTGTCCCAACTACTAGACCACTATGACAAGGTCCAGGATGCTCTAAAACACAAACAAAATGCAGATATGTACAAAGACTTTACGAAAGCCTTCAACACGTGCGACCATGGTGTAATAGCGCACAAAATGCGTGATAGAGGAATAACCGGATAAGTTGGTAGATGCATCTATAACTTCCTAATAGAATGCAAAGAGTAATAGTAAACAGAGTAAAGTCTGAGGTAGCTACAGTGAAAAGCTCTCTTCCACAAGTCACAGTACTCGCCCCCATCCTGTTCCTTATCCTCATATCTGACATAGACAGGGATGTAAGTCACAGCACCATGTCTTCCTTTGTGGATGACACCCGAATCTGCATGACAGTGTTCTCCATCGAAGACACTGCAAGACTCAAGCAGACATCAACCAAATCTTCAAATGGGCTGCAGAAAACAATATGAAGTTCAATGAAGAGAAATTTCAATTACTACGATAAGGAAAACTTGAGGAAATTAAAACTACATCAGAGTGTAAAACAAATTCCAACTACACAATAGAGTTGTAGACTAATGTAAAGGACTTGGTAGTGATAATGTCAGAGGATCTCACTTTCAAAGATCACAACAATATATCTACTACATCTGCTAGAAAAATGATAGGATGGATAATGAGAACCTTCAAAACTAGGACTACCAAGCCGCTTGTTCTCTCTAGGCTGGAATATTGCTGTACGCTAACAGCACCGTTAAGGCAGATGAAATTGTTGACCTGGAGAATGTTAACAGAACCTTCACAGCACACATAAGTATAATAAAACACCTAAATTACTGGGAATGGTTGAAGTTCTTTGACTTGCATTCCCTAGAATACAGGCAAGAAAGATACACAATGATATACACTTGGAAAATCCTAGAGGGATTAGTACTAAATTTGTACATGAAAATCACTTCCAGTAAGAGCAGAACACTTGGCAGGAGGTGCAACATCTTCCCAATGAAAAGCAGGGGTGCCAAGAGTACACAAAGAGACAACACAATAAGTGTCAGGAGTCATGACTGTTCAACTGCCTCCCAGCTTACATAAACAAGGTGCAAGACATGCACCTTATGTCAGTACCTAACCAGGTGGGCTGTGGTTCACACATCAGTTTGCATAACCAGCCAGGTTGATCAGGCCTTGATCCACCACAAGGCCTAGTCACAGTCTGGGCCATGAGAGTGTTGGCCCCCGAAACCCTCTCCAGGTATACTATATATACTCGCATATACACTCTTACTACCCATCGCTTTGAAAATTGATTCACTGATGTCCCTGGTGGATGAATGGTCTTCTCAATAAAATGCTATGAACTGCATAATGTCTTGCTGTGGGCATATAGCACCAATGATATACACAAAGTTAAAGCAAATAAGAAAAAAACTATTACCAAAATGACTGCAAATGTATTAAATGCAAAACAAAATGAAAAGACTCACTTCATTTACTTTCAGAGCTATGTGTTGGTAACTGCATGATGAGTTACACAACTGCACTAAAGGAATGGAGTTAATTATTCAAGATAATGATAATTAATTATGTTAAGTGTCTCACCACGCCCTTAAGGAGAGTCAGGGACTCATGCAGGAGGGAGTCAGGATCAGCATCATGCTGGCGGGTTACCAGAGGCGTGAGGTCAGCAGCTTTCTCCACATCGTTGGAGTAATTCTCAGCGTTAGCCTCCGCATCCATAGCCTTGAGTTCATCCTGGCTCCAGTGTTCTACTATGGCGGCAGTGTAACAGTCACCCAACATGTTGTTGGTCGTGCGAAAACGATCTCTGCAAAGGAAAGTTAAATACTCAGTGACACCTGGGATCATGCAAAAATATATGACTCCATGGCAAATGCACCTATACACAACATATACTTATGTTAAACGTTTGAAGGTGAAGATACTAGGCTTTCTTATCTTACGGAAATAAAATCAGGCATTATTATTACAATCAAAACTAAGTGCTAAATCCACATCAATCAGGAATTGGTCTCAATTAAACTGAAAATGATGAGTTCAAGATAAGTACAACATTTGGGTATACATTTGGGTATACTCATTACTAAAATATTTTGAGTGTGCAGCAGGCTTCTCAACAGAAGACAGGCGAATACAACACTAGATTATTATTATTATTATAATAAAAAAGAAGCGCTAAGCCACAAGGACTATACAGCGCTGCAGGGCAGGAAGGAAGCGAGGGCATCAGGTGGCAAAAGGGAGATGGATGAGTAATAGGTTACGGATAACAGCGGGGCAGTGGATGGTGAAAGGGTAAAGGGCAGCAAGAGACTGAACTAGAAAGGGCTGAGGGGAGTGCGAAAAGTATCATCAGAGTTTGTGGAGTAAATCAGTCGTTGTCAAGAAGTCAATGAGAGAGTCAGGATTAAAGGAGGGTCCATCAGCAAGAAGGGAAGGTAAAGAGAGAGTAGTAGAACGAAGACGATGTTGGAGGTAAATTCTGCGTGCTCGTTGATAGAGAGGGCAGTCTAACAGAATGTGGCTAATCGATACTGGAACTTGACACTGCTCACAGAGAGGAACAGGGTGCCTCTCCATGAGATACCCATGAGTAAGATGAGTGTGACCAATGCGAAGGCGGGAGAGAGTGGTCTCCCAACCTCGGCACTGATGACAAGAAGACGGCCAGTAACCTATGCTCGGTTTAATAGAATGAAGTTTGTTACCGAGCAGAGTTGACCAACGCTGTTGCCAACGGGTGCGAAGGTGGGTAGCTATTGCAGCAAAATAGTCCAGAAATGGAACACCTTGATAGGAAATTGGTAGGTCATGTACTGCTGACCGCGCAGCAGTGTCTGCCTGTTCATTGCCCTGTATGTCGACATGGCCAGGGACCCAACAAAAAACAATATCTTTATGTTTGGTAGAGATACGGCATAGCCAAAGTTGGATACGGAGAACTAGGGACGAGATGTTATCAAATTTTCGTATAGCCTGTAGAGCACTAAGGGAGTCTGAGACTACTACAAATGATGACACAGGCATAGATGCGATACGAATAAGTGCTGCAAGAATGGCATACAGTTCAGCAGTAAAAATGCTAGCTGAAGATAGTAAATGTCCCCGCACGACGCTGTCCGGAAACACTGCTGGCGAATCCGACGCCGTCTGAAGACTTAGAGCCATCTGTGTACACAGCGGTGGCATGAGAATGGGAGTGGAAGTGATCAAGAAAAAGAGAGCGGGAAGCCACCGTAGGCAGTTGAGCTTTCGAGCAAGGGAGTGAGAAAGAACAGACCCGAACAGCTGGAACTTCCCAGGGGGGTAGGGAAAAGTGAGATGCTACATGAACATATAAAGGTGGTAACTGAAGGGAAGACAAGAGTGAATGTAGGCGAAGAGAAAAGGGACGGAGCAAACTGGGGCGGCGAGTGAATAAAGAATGTCTACTAATATCAGTGACCATTCTATAAATGGAAGGATTGTGTAGATCATGAGAGCGTACATAGTAGCGAAGGCAATGGGCATCACGGCGATCAGACAAGGATGGAACATTCGCTTCTGTATAGAGGCTCTCAACAGGGGAAGAGCGAAAAGCACCAAGGCACAAACGTAATCCTTGGTGATGGATAGAGTTAAGGCTAGAGAGAGTAGCAGGAGAGGCCGCGGAATAAATCTGGTCACCATAATCGAGTTTCGATAAAACGAGGGCTGAATGTAGGCGAAGCAGAGTTCGACGATCAGTCCCAGGAAAGATGAGCAAGGGTTTTAAGAAGGTTTAGCCGGCTGTGACAAGTTGCCTTCAGAGAGGTTATGTGAGGTTTCCAGGATAACCGACGGTCAAAGAGAAGGCCTAGAAACCTGACTGTATCACGTTCGGGGATACGGGAGCCATAGAGATACAAAGGATGATCGGAGATAACAGAGCATCTAGTGAAAGTAATTTGGTGAGTTTTGGTACTTGAAAATTTAAACCCATGCGTGGTGGCCCAAGTGGAAACACGGTCGACCGCATGCTGGAGAGAAACTGCAATAAGATGACAGTCAGCGCCTGCACAAGCAATAGCGAAGTCATCAACATAGAGTGATGACCAAATATTGGGTGGAAGAACAGAGGCCAAATCATTTATAGCAAGGAGAAAAAGTGTTGTGCTTAGAACACATCCCTGAGGGACACCTTCAGCTTGGACGAAGTCCGGGGAAAGAACATTATTGACTCGAACACGGAAATGTCTATCAGTTAAAAAGTTCTTAAGGAAGGATGGTAGATTGCCTCGGAGGCCTAAGGAATGGGCCTGGGCCAAAATATTATACCTCCAAGTTGTGTCATATGCCTTCTCAAGGTCAAAAAATATGGCAATAACTGAGTGATTATTCGCAAAGGCATTACGAACATACGTATCCAAGCGTAGTAAGGGGTCTATGGTAGAACGACCCTTACGAAAGCCATATTGACTAGCGGAGAGACTGTCGTGTGTCTCTAAATACCACATTAAACGTCGATTTACGAGATGTTCCATCACTTTGCAAACTGCACTAGTAAGAGCGATGGGGCGATAGTGGGAGGCATCATGCCCTTTGTAGTACCCGGTTTGCAGAAAGGGAGAACAATGGCAGATTTCCACAGCTGGGGAAGAACTCCTTGTGCCCAAATAAGATTGAAGAGGTGTAAGAGGACTACAAGGGCTGACTGATGTAAATGTTGTAACATACGAATATGAATGTCGTCAGGCCCAGCTGCCGATGATCGGCAAGCTGAGAGTGTTGCCTCCAGTTCTTGAAGTGTAAAAGGCACATTATACTGTTCTTTTCTGAGAGAAGAAAAGTCCAAGGGTACTAACTCTCTGGCAGACTTTGAGGAAAGAAACGAGGGGCATAGATGGAGCCCTCGGGAAATATGGACCAGATGAGTGCCAAGTTTAATGGCAACGTCGAGAGGGTTTGCTACATCAACACGAGCGACCTGTAGAACAGGAGCTGGGTCAGGAGAGTATTTACCACTCAATTTCCTCACTTTTTTCCAGACTGCACTCATAGAAGAAGCAGAGGTGATGGTGGAAACACAGTCTCGCCAACAAGTGCGTTTAGCTTCACGGATGACACGGCGAGCGATCGCACGCTTCTGCTTAAAATCAAGAAGTCTCTCAGCGGTTCTATTGTACCGGTACCTGCCCCATGCAGCACATTTCAAACGTACCGCAGGAGCACAAGCAGGAGACCACCAAGGCACGCACTTCTGAGAATGCCTGCCTGAGGTTTGGGGTATAGAATGAGAAGCTGCGGTATAAACTGACGTCGAGAAGATGTGTAGGAGCTCATCGATGGAGGATGAAGAAGGAACCTCACTAAAAGCAGTGAGGTGTGAGTAAAGATCCCAATTTGCCCTATCAAATTGCCAGCGAGGGCTACGGAAAGGTGGTGAATAGGAAGGAGAAGTAAGAATGATCGGAAAATGATCGCTGTCATGTAAGTCTGGTAGAACAGACCAGGTGAAGTCTAGTGCAGTGGAGGAAGAGCAGACTGATAGATCTATGCAAGAGAGAGTATGAGTACGAGGATCAAAATGGGTGGGAGTACCCGTATTTAAAACATGGAGGGGGTGAGAGGCGAGAAAAGCCTCCAACTGAATGCCACGTGAGTCACAATGAGACCCCCCCCAGAGGAAATGGTGGGCATTAAAATCACCAAGTAACAAGAAGTGGTGGTGGTAAGGATGAAACAAGAAAGGCAAAGTCTGGGATAGAAAATGCTCGAGAAGGAGAGAGATATAAAGAACATATTGTAAACCACTTATTCAAGTGGATACAGGCTGCAGTGTAATGCAGCGAGGTATGGACAAATAGTTGACAGTACGGAATATCATTGCGTAGAAGAAGGGCACTTTCATTAAAGGTCCCATCTGAGAAAGGATCCGAAGAATACAATAAATTATAGCCTGAGATAGGTTGGAAAACAGCCGAGTGTAATTTTGGTTCTTGTAAGCAAGCACCAACAGGGGAAAACCTGGAAAGCAACATCTGAAGCTCACCCCGATTACCCCTGAGGCCGAGGATATTCCACTGTAAATAGGCCATGACTGGTGATGAAGAAAATATCAGGAATCTGTATGTAAAGGCACCTACGGACTAGAGGGGTTAGAAAAGTCAACGTGTGGTGGCATTGGAAGACGTTCAAGTAGCGAAGGAACGGAGCGTTGCGAAGAATGGGGTTGTGAAGATAGAGGAGAGGGAAGAGAAGGAACAGGAAGTGAATCAGTGTCCATTGAAGGTTTAGTCTCTGCAATATATTCTGAAATGGCTTCAAGTGTTTCTGAATTCAAAGATGTATGGGAGACCACGTTGGAGATAGAAGGAGGAGGGTGAGTAAAGATTGGGACAGTAATGGACTGTACCAAAGTAGAGGGGGAGGGAAGAGTGTAAGGGACTGGAGATGAAGTGTGGGGGGGGACAGAAGAGGCAGAAACCTGGGAGGTGGCAGAAGAGGGAGAAACTTGGGAGGGGACAGGGGTGGAAGGCATAGTACGAGGAGGAGGGTGAATCTCCACACTTGTAATAGAGCCAGAGAGAGGGGAAGAACTAGGTACAGAGACTGGAAAGGTAAAGTGTGGAGGTGGAAGAAGGGAAGGAAGGGGCAAAGAAGAGTTGAGCAATGTGGATTTTTTGGACTTCTGAGTAGAGAGGCGATTGGTATTAGGTGTCGTATGAGGTCTTGTCGATACTGGGGCTTGTGAGGAAGGCCACGAAGATGTGAGAACAGACTGAGTTGTAGTCGGGACGTCAGAGCCAAAAGGATTAGATGCCGTAGTGGCTATGGGAGGGGTAACAG